TAATTACACAGCGACCGAACGCGGGATCAGAACCTACCGCCGGGGGGGCAGCTGGCTGAAGCTGAGCTGGCTGAGCTGGCTGCAAGCTGGTGGGGATATTTTTTTCGGTCGCGGCCGCGAGACGACGGTCAGGCGGCGAAAGCAAAGTCCGGGACGCGAGCTAGGCGAATTAGCTAGGATGCGTGGTGTGCACATGCACTGAGCAAAATGCTCCGCATTAAAGCGAACGCACATAGGCGCCAGCCACACCGAAGTGAAGCAGACCGCAGTGCGAGTGCAACGGGGAAGTCGCCATGTCGGCGCCGAAGTCCCGAGCAGCTCTCCTAGCCGAAAGCGGGCAGGGAGAACCGAAGCGACAACGCTGAAGGTTGAACCACTCAGCGCGAAGTCCGTACCACCGCCGTACGCGGGGCCGGCGAAGACAGGGGCAAAGGAACGGCAGGGACCTACAGAGCACTCACTCCACGATCCACACCGCTGCCCGGGGGGGGCCGGTGTGTCAGTCATCGTTTCCGAAACCAGTGACAGGCCAGCGAAGCAACGATGAAAGAGGACACGCAGGCCCAAGAGCCGGTACACTGCCGCCTACCGGGTATCGGCCGAAGGTCGCCGAGGTACGCTGCAGCCGCGACCAGCTCATAGGCGCTGGAGCGCAGTCAGGGCTGAATTTGACCGCAGAGTGGGCAGGGGAACGGCAGGTACCAACAGAGCACTGACTCCACGGACCGCACCGCTGCCCGGGGGGGGGCCGGTGTGTCGTTCATCGTATCCGAAACCAGTGGCTGGCCGGGGATGCAACGATGAGAGAGGACACGCTGGCCCAAGGGCCGGTACACTGCAACCTCGCAGGTAACGGTCACGATTGTCGCCGGGATTCGCAGCTGTCGCGACCAGCTCATGGAGCGCTGGAACGCAGCCAGGGCTGAATCTGACCACGCAGTGGAGGGGGGGGTGCAGCCAACAGCCGCAATGAACACATGTGTCGGTTGGAGGGGGGGGGGCGCAGCCAGCAGCCGCAATGGCTGGTGGGGATACTGTTTTGGTTCGCGGCTCCAAGGCAAATGTCAGGGAGCGGACGCAGCGTCCGGGATGCGGCACGGAGCGAATTTGCGAACACAGCCGCCACTGTCGGCAGCCGTTCGCACCTGCAAGACACGCTCGCAGTTGCACATGCACAGGACAAAATGAACTCAATTCGCAAGCAAACGCACATAGGCGCAGCAGCGAAACCAAAGGGAACTAGCTGCGTGTGCGAAGACAGCAGAGTGAGTCGCCGGTGCGGCGCCAGACTCAAGCTGACAGTGCGAAAGCGAGAGCGAGCGACCAGCACACACAAGAAACGATACCATGTAGACAATGGTGAGGCAAAAAGGGGGCCTGTCTCATCGAACTCACTGACGCAACAAGGTAGCTGGACCGCGTTGAAGCCTTCAGTAGACTGGTGGGGATGCGCGAAGCGTTAAGAATTCATCAGGACTGGATTTCGAAAACAACGCGCAGTTCTCTCAGTTCTCCCTCTCCCTCTCCTTCATCTCCCCTTGTTCCCTCCCTTCCTCCTCCATTCTCTCTTCGTCCTCCTTCTTTTCTTTACCCTCCTCCTCGTCGTCCTCCTCCTTCCGTCCTCTTCCTTCGCCGCGTCCTCCCTTCCTCAACCTTCTCCTGCTCCTCCTCTTCCTCCTCCTCCCGCCCATCCTCTTCTTCCTTCTCTAGCGCGGGCGTTGAAATAATGGGGGAGGAAAAATGACGGAGGGAGAACATAAATGGCGGGACGAGGTAGGACATACGGGATGAGGAAGTGATGGATGATGATATTGGAGGAGGGATAAGTAAAGGGGTGCAAGAGGGGGCAGGAACAGGGGGAGACATAATGGGTGGAGGAGAGACAAGGAAGGGAAGAAGAGAATGATGGGGAAAGTCGATGCAACAGAGAGGGGAGGAAGGGACCGTCTGGATGCCGCCATATACCCGCCTAAACACCTCAGAACCCAGTGCCACCCACCAGAAACCTCAAACACCCCTTACAGGCCCAACACCATCTCCTCAACCCCTCCTCATCCCCTCCTGCCCCTCCGCCTCCCCAGCCGTCGCGTTTTTTGGCTATATACCACATAACCCCCCCCCGGGAGGTCTGAACCCCTTCCCGGGACCAGTGATTCGTTCCGCGCCACTTTATGACCGTCGTAGGGCCCCCAGGAAGCCGAAACTTACCAAAACCGTCCGTCGTGCCTTTGCCAAGTCACGACGCGAAGAAGGCTGCGTCCTCCGCCCTCCATGAGACGGAGGGAGGCTCTGCGCCGACAGGCCACGAGCAGCCCAGAAGGGCGCAGAGAGGCAACGATGACATGATAACCGACCGGACCGACCCGACCGAGGGCAACCGACTGCAACGCAGCCAGACCGACCGAACAGCGGACACCCTTGCAAAGCCCTCCTCCTCCCCGGCTCCTCTGCATGGACGCCCGAACCGGGTACGAGACAAATTTGTACAACGCCCAACAGCAGATTCTGTCCCAAACCAGCAGCGGCCGCTGCTTGGCCGGCGGCGGTCTGTCTCAAATGGCAACCGTCCGTGGCGACATCGACAGCGAGTCCTGTTCAAAACGAACAGGAGCTGCTGTCGGTCATTGCGCCCATTCTTTCCGTACCTAGTTCGATCGTCCCGATCTTCCCCCCGCCCCCCTCCCAACTGATGGCCCGGAGCCGTGCCTTGCTCCGTGAGGGGCCTCCATGCAGGCAGGGAGTCTTCCCACCCACGTGGGGCCGTCGACAACGCCCTGCGGGCCTCCAGCCAGCCTTGGCTTCAAAGCCTGCCTCCACGAGTCTGCGGGCGAAATGCACCTGACCCAGACATCGGGAGTGTCGCGCCGCGCAATCAGCTTCGCGCTCCTGTGCGGGGAGGGGGAGTAAAAGAAGAGGAAGAAGAAGACGAAGAAGAAGAAGAAGAAGAAGAAGAAGGAGAAGAAAAGACGCTCTAAACATAAACTTTTGGCGCTCCGCGCAGATTTCTTGGATCTGCGCTGGGCCCTCCTCCCTGGGGCGCGGGGCGCGCCAGGGGCGGCGCCTCCGGCGCCGCTAGGGGGCCCCAGCGCGGATCCAAGAAGTCCGCGCAGAGCTCCGAAAGTTCATGTTCATGGCGCTTTTTCTTCTTCGCGAGACGGGGAAGAAGCGCTGCTGCGGCAGGGGAGTCGCCTGCCGCAGCGGTGCGGCGAGGGACGGGCTGCGCGGCTCGGGGGGTCCCCCTTCCATCCTGTCCCTCGGCCAGATGTGCCCCTGCCCGCGCCTCGCCGCCTGCGGGGCGCGAGAGTGCGGGGTGGAGGCGCGGGGCGATGTGGCCACTCTGCGAGGGTGCCTCGAGCGGGAGCCCCAGATTGGGGGGGCCACGCCCGCTGCGCCCCGGCCCCCCTGGTGCCCAAGCGGCGGAATCATCCAGCGGGATCGCCCGCCTCGTCCTTCCCCTGGGGTCACTCGACTTCGCGCCTCGCGCCCCGCGATGCGCGGTGATCTCCGCGCCCTCGCGAAGCGCGACGGCGCCTCGCGGGGCGGCCCTCGTCAGGCCCAGGCCGCGACGCGCGAAGCGGGATTGCCTCCACGCCCCGTGGGGGTGACCTGATATTCCAGCCCCCCCCCTTGGATGGTGAGAGGTCCTGCACGAACACCACCGCGCAGCCCTTCCGGGTGGGCACGTCCACCGGCCCCGCGCCGCCCTGTGGGTGGAGCTGGAACTGGCCCCCTTCGTAGGCCTCGGGATCGGAGTCGTCGTCGTCGTCGCCATCCCCGCGGCCATCGCCGCCGCCGTCGTCGTCAGGAAGGAGATGCGAGGCGGGGATATGCCCAAATCGACCGCCTGGGTAGACCGACCTCCTGGGACCCCAGCGGGCGGTGAACATAGGTATGTGTTTGCCCCCGGCGGGCCCGAAGATGTATCCATATCCACTGCTAGCCGAGGTCCCCGCAGATCGATCCCACGGGCGGTGGTTGTGGATAAATCCCCGCCTCGGAAGACAGACAGGATCAGCCATCATCAGACCAGGAAAGCCGACCGTACAAACGCTTGTTTGGGATCGGGCTGCGTCGGCACGGGGTCGAGACCCAACCAGATCGCCTGCCCCAAAAAACACCACAACGCCAGGCAAACACTGGGACGCATCGGATCGTCGGATTGACGAAAGCGGATCGAGCAGGCCGGAATCGATATCGGATCGGATCGATCAAGTCGACCATGCAACGTCGTCGTTGGAGAGGGACGTTGGCTTCTTTTGCTCCTGGGGGGGCCTCCGTCGCCATCCGCCACCGCTCTGGATCGACCCCTGGAGCGCGCTCTGGCACAAGTCCGGGGGGCCGATTTTGAAAGGGGTCGCCTCTGCCGCCGCCGCCGCCGCCGCCGTCGCCGTCGCCGTCGCCGTCGCCGTCGCCGTCGCCGTCGCCGTCGTCGCCGTCGTCGTCGTCGTCGTCGTCGTCGTCGTCGTCGTCGTCGTCGTCGCCGTCCTCGTCGCCGTTTTCATCCTCGTCATCGTCTTCGCCCCACTGGACCCCGCTCGCACGCCTCGGGGTTGAAGTAGCACTGGAAGGTCAGCCTCGAGACGCGCCGGCCGTCCTCCGACGGCTCGCTGACGTGGGGGGGAGGGACGTGTGCGGCGGGTGGGGCGGCAGGTGAACCGCCGTGGGAGGGGGGATGCCCCTGGCCCGAGCTGCCCCCCAGCTTCCCGCTCGAGTTTGGGACGCCCTGGGGCTCTCCCTGGGAGATCCTGGGGAGCACCTCTGGCCAGGGGCGCATGTAGCAGCACCCGCGGAGGGGGGCCCTGGGGGATGGGCGGAGGGGGCGGTGGCGCCAGATCCCCTCCCTTCCTCGAACAATCACGACGGACGGCTGCTTTGCCATTTTCGGCCTCTGCTGGGCGTCGCTGAATGGGCCGCGCCGCCGGGTGCGCGGCCCCTGGCCTCCGACGACTCGAAGTCTTCGAGCGTCGGGCCCTGGACCTCCCCACCCTTTCCCGTGGACTGGCTCTTGGCCCCCGAGCCGGGGTTTGACAGCCCCGAGATTTGATAGTCCCTTGGGCTTCGCTGAATGGGGGGGCGACACATGAGGGGGGGAAGAAAGGTGCACTTCTTGGGCCCTAACGGAGACTTGGCGAGGGACGTACGGAAGGGGGAAAGGACGGGGGAGGGGACGACGGGGGAGGGGTGGAAGGAAGGAGGGCAAAGGTGGCGGGGGAGGGGGCGGGGAGGGGATTGAAGGAGAGCGAGAGAGAGAGAGAGGGAGAGAGAAAGAGAGAGAGAGGGGGGGGAGAGACTAGGAGGGGAACGAGGGGCGGAGGGGGAGGGAGGGACGGGGGACGGATGGGCCGAAGGATGGGGGAAGCCAGTAGGAAAAGGGAGGGGGGCGGGAGGGCTCGAGAGGGAAGGCAGGTCGGAGGTGGACGGGTGGCTCGCGTGCCGCCCCCGTGTCCCGCCCACCTCCCCCCCGTTGATGTCTGCGTGCTTCTGGTGCTCGCCGCCACTGCCTGTGGTCACGAGGCGGATGCGCTCGTTCACAGCCACCACCTGAGGGGAGGAGGAGGGAGGAAGGGAGGGAGGGAGGGAGGGAGGGAGGGAGGAGGAGGAGGGGGAGGAGAGGAGGAGGAGAAGGAGGAGGATGAGGAACATGAGGAGGAGGAGGGAGGAGGAGAGGAGGAGGAGGAGGAGGAGGAGGAGGAGGAGGAGGAGAAGGAGGAGAACGAGGAGGAGGTGGAGGAGAACGAGGAGGGGTGGAGGGAGGAGGAGGAAGAGGAGAAGAAGGGGAGGAGGGGAGGGAGGAGGGAGGAGGAGGAAGGAGGAGGAGGAAGGCAGACGAGGAGGAGGAGGAGGAGGAGGAGAGGAGGAAGAGGAGGGATGAGGATGCGGAAGAGGAGGAGAAACAGGAGGAGAGAAAAGGAAGGAGAAGGAGAAGGAGAAGGAGAAGGAAAGGAGAAGGAGGAGAGGAGGAGGAGGAGGGGAGGAGGAGGAGGAGAGGAGGAGGAGGAAGGAGGCGAGAGGCGTGGAGGGAGGAAGGAGGGACGGAACATGCAGGGGCGCGGGGGTGGCGGCGGTGCCGTTGGGGGGGCCGTGGTCAGTTCGAGCACGGAGGACGAAGAGGGAAGGGGATTCTTGTGGGGGGAGTCGCCAGGAAGGGCGCCCCCGAGTTCGGGGCACCGCTGGCGTGGGGGCGGCACAACTGCCAGCGCGCATCCCCCGCTCCGTTCTGCTCGGGTCTGCTCGGCTCCGCTCTCCCTTGGCCTCCCTCCTCTTCCCCCCGTGTCTCTCTCTCCCTCCTCCCTCCCTCCCTCCATCCTCCCCCTCCTCCTCCTCCTCCTCTTCTTCCTCCTCCTCCTCCTCCTCCGCCTCCTCCTCTTCCTCACAACTCAGGAAGGGTGCTGACGGGTCCGAAACCCAATGCAACACCAAGTGAAAGGGCCTATCCTCCACTCCTCGGTCGCTCACCTCCCCCGGGGGTCTGCGCCTGCAGGTTCGCAAGCCTAGACACGACCTGGGAGGCGGAGTTGGGGGTGGAAGGACCTGCGGCGGCGCCGAGGGATAAAGGCCATGGCCAGAGCAGGTCAGATTCTGAACCACCTGGCAGGATGCCCTGGCGCAGCTTCCGCAGATCCGAATTCACAAGAGATCTGTGTATTGGGTCTCGCAGCTTAACCGCTTTGCTGGCAACGATGGCTCCACATGCATTGCACTGGATCACGGGCATCCCGCTCTCACGCACACACGCCATCGCCATCCACAATCGATGCTGGTGCAGAAGATTCTGTGAGACCACAGGGACTTCCTCCAAAGACGGGAGAAGACGAATACAGCTGGTGTGAGACGAAAAGTCGGCTCTTCCCTCGATGGCAACGAGCGCACCTCCACCCCGAACCATGCCACACAAGCACGTGGTAGACACGCGAAGGCCCAACCGCAGGCGCCGACGGAGGGGGCCAGGGGTGCTCAGGGAGGGAGCCGAAGAGCTCCTTGCAGGAAGTCCAGAGCTCAAACATGGAACACATAACTTTAGCCGCTGACATATACAAAGCCATCGTCGTGATAAAGCTGCGACGGTCATCCGACGTCTGTTGATTCCCAGTGGCGCCGAGTTTAGCGCACTTGTCAGCAACAACATTGCCTAGCATATGGAGCCTTTCTCTATGCGATTCGGCACTCTCGACGCTTCGGTGCACTTTGACCGTTCACCAAGGGAGGCACCTGCGAGCCGGGCGTCCTCCAAACGTGGCATGTTCGCACTTGTGGGACCGAGCCCACAAGGGACGAGAAGCTCCATGGATCAAACTCTGGCAGCCGACGTCGCCACCGACGCCGCGCCACCGTCGCCGCTGCTCCCCCCGTCTCATCGCTGCAAGCGCTGCCGTTCCTCCTCCTCCTCCTCCTCCTCGTCGTCCTCCTCCTTCTCCTCGCCCTCCCCTCCTCCTCCTCCTCCTCCTCCTCCTCTTCCTCCTCCTCCTCCACCGTACCTTCGCTGGCATGGGGTGTTCGTTCATGCCTGCCGCCCAGAAACCAATCATACTCGAGCGAGCCAGGAAACTCACATCCCGGGAAGGTCCGAATCCGAGCCTCCAGCCGCTTCGCTCTCCTGGCGCAGCGCTGCGAGGCGCTCTGCCTCGACCGCCCATCTTCTAGCTTCTCTTTGTGGATGTAGGTTAACGACCGAAGAGTCGAACCTACTGAGATGTCCGTTGGTAGAGGACGGTGGAAGAGGGGAGAGATCTCTTTTACCATGCGCCGCGGGCGAGCGGCGCGAGTCCTGTCTGAAAGGACAGTCCAATACTTGAGCCGAGACGGTAACAGGATAGATGTACAGAAAGGTGCTATGAGCGGACCTCACCCACACTCTCGGGTTAGCCCAAATCCGACCAGAAGTTCCGAGCGGCCCAGACTCGCAAACAACCCATCCCCAGCCCGAAGGTCGCCTTCTTGGGGCTCCTGGGAGACGAGCCGCTAGGCAAGCCCAGGGCCACGTCCAGACCCGTAGCGTCGACCTCCTCCTCCTCCCCCTCCCAAACTAAACATCATTAATGATACTCTCACTCACTCTCTCTCTCTTTCTTTATTCCCTGTCTCTTCCAGGCAGATGTACCGCCCTCCCCGCGTATTGTTTTCTCCGGTGTTCTGTTATCCAATCCCACCGTCTTCGGTCCTTTAAAGCGGCTGCCCTGTTGCAGCGCTGGCCTCATTTCCATGCTTCTGGGCCTTCAAAATCGTGCTCCCGCTGCAACGCTGGTCTGATTTCCGCGTTTTCGGCCCTTCCAAATCGTGCTCCCACTGCAACGCTGGTCTCATTTTCTTGTTTTCGGTCCTTCCGAATGGTGCTCCCTTCAGCGTTTCCAGTCCTTCCGAATGATGCTCCCGCTGCAACATCGAGCTCATCTCCAAATTGTCGGTTCCAGCATGGTTTCCCGGCTGCACCACCGTGTCTGGCCACACGAGGGCCGAGAGCAGGAAAGACATGTGGCCACGTGTGTATCCACATGTGGGCAGGTCGACAGGCAATCTCTCTCTTTCTCTCCCTCTCTCTCGCTTTCCCCCTGTCCCTATCCCTCTCCATCTATCGTCCACTATACCGTTGAGTATGTATACTGAACGCACATATGACGTACGCCACCTCGGCCTTCCAAAAACCATCGAAACGCTCCTGCCCCTCCTACTCCCTCATGCGACTTCAACTTCTCCTCTCTCATCCTGCTGCTGCTGCCGTTCCTCCGATTCCGCGCAGCAGCTATGCATTCTCAAGCTATCTGATACACGTCTGCCTTCTCCTTCTCCAGCTCCCCGCCAATCCCTCCTCATGGCTCTCTCCTTCTGCCCCTCCCACCGCGGAGGAGGCACAGTCGAGACCACGGCGGCCCTCCCACCAGGTCCAAACTCGCTCCAGGTCGATCCCAGACCCCTCCTGGGGTCCATCCTGGCCCCCTTTTTCCGACGTGGGAGATCGACAAGCGACGCCCGAGAGGGCTGCCGGCTGCCGTTGTCCTTGCTGACCCTCATCCAAAGACCACCGACGCACGATGAGCTTCCGATGCGGTTGGAGTCGCAACGATACCGTAGCGTGTACAGTGGCGTGCAGCACCGATCTCCGAAAAGCCACGCTAGTCCCCCAAAGACGGCTTCCTCCGTGCACGCTATCCCTGTGAGGCGATCCCCCTTCGAAGGATCCTTCTGTGCACGCCATCCCCCCCGCCAGGGCTTCCTCCGCGCACGCTGTCCCCGAGGTGGGGGATACCGTCTGGTAAACGGGCGCGCGGCGCCACATCGCACGCCATCTTTGCGCGACGCCAAACGTAACGGATGGCCAGGGGCGTCCCCAACCTGCTCCCCGAAGCGCATCAAGGAGAGGAACGGCACCGGGGCGGCGCCGTCCTGCGCAACCGACAATGACGTCGACGACGACGACGACCAGACGACCACGACGAGGATGACGACGACGACGACGACGACGACGACGACGACGACGACGACGACGACGACGACATCGACGACCACGACGACGATGACGACTGCGACGACGATGACGGCTACGATGATTTTGACGACTACGATCGCGTCGAAGACGACGGCGACGACGGCGACGACGATGACGGCGACGATGTCGACGACGCCGACGATGATGGCAACAGCGACGTCGACGACGATGTCGAACACGACGGCAGCGCCGCAAGGGCACAAGCGGCGAGGTCTATGCCTCCGCCCCCCCCCCTTTTCGGGCCAAAGCTCGGCTCTTCGGCGGCCGTCCAGGACGATCCGGACACCCCCAGAACGCTCTTGGCGAGGTGCAGCCGCTGGAAGGCACCCCGAGGCTGCAGCGCCACCGAGGACCGACGAGAATGTCCGAACACCTCGAACCTCGTCCCCTCCTGTAGTGGCCAACCGGCGCACGGCAAGGACTCATGACGCCTCGGCGACGTCGTCCTTGTCTCGGATGTTTCGGGGGCGCCTCCAGTCGGTCTCGTCGCCACCGCCGGGCGCAGCTCGGCAAGCTTGCCAGGATGGACCCCCGACTGAAGGGTGGCTGTTCGTCTCCTCCTCTTCCTCTTGGATCGGGCTGTCGGCATCGGTGTTCGGTCGAGCGCAGCCGTCCCCTCCTCCATCACCACTCCTCATCGACATGTTCTGCCTGTCGCATCCCGAGACGCGTCGATAGGGCGGGCCAGACGTTTCGCCTGCCACTTCCTCACCGCTTGTGATCCTACAACACCTTTACGGATGGAGGGCGGGCGGCTTTCGAAATGTGGCTCTCTCCTGAGCGCCGCGCACAATCGTCTTTCATATTTGAAAGAGCTTCCCAGATGGATAATGTTTTTAGTTTCATAGTGTGGCTCTCGTTTCAGGGCCGGGCACATTCGTCTTCAAAGTTCGCAAACGCTTCACGGATGGAAAATAGGCTTTTGCAAAATCCCGATATCACCTGAGCGCCGCGCAATTTTTTTTCAACAGTTTGCGGGTGTTTCACGGACGGAAGGCGGGTCGTTTTCAAACTGCGGTTTTCGCCTTGGCGCCGCGCACATTCGTCTCGAAAGTGCGCGAAGAGATTCACTGATGGAGGGCGGGTGGTTTTCAAGATGCGGTTCTCGCCGTAGAGCCGCGCGCATTCGCCCCAACATTTTGCAAGGGTTTCATGGGTGGGGGGCGGTTCTTTTTCAAAATATGTGTCTTCCCTTAGCGTCGCGCGCATTCGTCTTCAACGTTTGTAAGGGCTTCACGCATGGATGACAGCTCTTTTTCATAATGCGGTTGTCGCCCTAACCCCGCGCACATTCGTTTCGAGAAATTACAACACATGAACGAATTCTTAGGGTTTGCGTCCCCGGGCCAATACCGCGGCACGATTTAGGGCAGTCAGGGCGCAGCCGTCACGTTGATTCGCGGTGTTGAAGTCCCAGGAATGGCGTTCTGGCGCGACGCAGGATCGTCAGGATACCAGTGTTAAGTTGATTCGCGGAGTTGAGATCTCGAAGGTTGTATGTTGGCACGGTTGTGGATTTTCAGCCGATTGTCTTCCAACGGGGCACTTCCAGCAGTGAAAGTACATTATTGTAGGGACGTATGAGGAAGGAACTCTGGGGAGGGTTTATTGCAACATCGTTGATTGACCTTGGGTTTACACTGGTCTTCTTCTTCTTCTTCCTCCTCCTCCTCCTCGTCCTCCTTCTCGTCCTCCTTCTCGTCCTCCTCCTCCTTCTTCTCCTCCTCCTCCTCCTCCTCCTCCTCCCCCTCAGCCCCTTTCCACTCGGGAGGGTGGGCTGCGCGCACTTGGAAGGGGCGCAGCGCGGCCAAGCCGGGCGACCAATGCCTGGGCGTGGGGTCTTCGGCGCAGTCGCCACGGTGAAGGCGACCAAGGCTGAGAAGCGAGCGAGGGCTCGTTAGCAAAATCGTCCTGATGATCGCGACCAGCCAATTGAAGGCGACCATGGCCGTGAAACGGTGCTCTTCGGCAAGGCCGTCATGGGGGAGATGCTCGGGCAGAGTTCAAGGAAATGCTCGGCAGGGCCTTGAACGCTCTCGCGAGCATTGCAACGTCTGTCTGGCGACGGCGTCGTCGTCGGGTGGGTCCCGAGCGTTGTGTTGTTCAGGCGATCTGGGTGGTGGTCTGTCGCCAGAGCCGGCCCTGGCCCTGGGAACGGCCTCCCCTGCGTTCGGGGGGGGGGGGGGGGGGGCATTACCATGGGGCGCCTTTGGGCGGCGCGTCCTGCTGTGCAGGCTCGGGGGGACCGCCCCCCCCCCCCCCCTCGCGAGATGCGAGGCGTCGTCGACACATTTTCTGATCCTCCCGATCCTCCTCCGCCCCCTCCTCCGAAGAGCCTCCAGAGCTACAGGAGATGTCTGCAAACGTCCCCACAGGCCTCTGGAGGTTCCAGGTCCCCAGAGGTCCCCGTAGGCCTCCGGAGACCTCGGGAGGTCCCAGGGGAAGGGGTCGAGAGCTCCAGGGGCCCCATACTAAGGCTACGCCAGGAGCTCTGGGGAAACTCCAGCCAGAACGGATCGAGAATGGAGGATTGATGTGTCTGGCCGCTTGGCCCCTTTTTGGCCTCCCGAGGCCTCCGACGCCTCCGGGCACACGTGGAGGCCTCCGAGGGCCTCCGAAGGAGGGGTGGCTGCTGGGGCAGGGCGGGGCCCGACGTCATCAACGTCGCCACCGATGCCGCGCCGCTGTTTTGGGATCCCCCCGTGTCCTCATCGCTGCAGGCGCTGCTGTTCCTCCTCCTCCTCCTCCTCCTCCTCCTCCTCCTCCTCCTCCTCCTCCTCCTGCCTCAGCCAGGGCTGCGAGGAGATCCCGAGAGGGCGGAGGAAGGCTGCGGCAAACCTCGTGGATCTTTGGAAGCGTGCGGCGGCTTCCACAGAACAGGTTTTCAAGGAGGGGGAGAAGAGAAGAGGGGAGCGGGAGCAGGGTGGACCGAGGAGCTGATATTAATCGAATGCTTTCGGACAGTTCTCAACGCCTCTGGATGACTGTGGGATGAAATTCAGGATGCTCAGCAAGTTTCTGGTGAAAGAGAATGGTGGCGAGGAGTGTGAGGGGGAGGAGGAGGAGGAGGAGGAGGAGGGGAGGAGGAGGAGGAGGAGGAGGAGGAGGAGGAGGAGAGGAGGAGGAGGAGGAGGAGGAGGAGGAGGAGGAGGAGGAGGAGGAGGAGGAGGAGGAGGAGGAGAGGGGCGGGAGAGGGGCGGGAGAGGAGGGATGCGGGAGGGAGAAGGACGAGGGAGCGAGTATGGAGATGGAAGGAGGAGGATCAGGGGGGGGGGGGGGCGTTTCTCATAAAGTGTTCCACGCGTTTTTCGGTGGTGCTCCGAGGTTTGCTAACATGTTCGGGGGCTTTCTGAACTGCGGCAGGCTCGTGAAGTTTTCCGAAGGTTTCGAACAGCTCAATGCTTGTAGAATGGATGGATTGAGGGAGGGAAGAGGAGGGAAGGATGGAGGTACGGAGGAGGTAGTGAACGAGAGGAAGGATGGGATTAATGGTGGCGGTCGGGTACTTTTGCTTAGCGTGCCGCCCGGGCGACCCCAGCGACACGCTGTACCCTGCAAGCAGATAGCGTGCCACTCCGCTCCGCGGGGCGGGAAGCTCGGAAGGGCTCGGGACGCTGGCGCCTGGGGAATGGGAGCTGGACAGCGTGTCACGCCGAGGCGTGGTGGGCTGGAGCCGGCGGAGCGACACGCTATCCCGAAGTTCCCGATCGTGGGGTGCAGCAGCAGGGACGGGAGGGAAGGATGGAGGCACGGAGGAACGAGAGGAGGGATGCAGAGAGGCGGGCTGGAGCACGGCGGAGGGGTGAAGGGGCGACATAGGAAGCAAGAAGATCTTCCTCCGCTGGGCTGGGGCCACCGGGGAATTCTTCGTGGAGGCCTGGACGCACGGATTGTCATTACCAGACTCCTCGCGGTACTCGCGGCTAGATTACCCATACGCGCAACGAGATGAAGAGGGGAACTGTGCTCGAAGACAAGGGTGTCTGGCATGCGCGCTATGACCACATGGAGGGCGGAGGATGTTGGAGGTGGGAGGGCAGGGGAGACGGGGCGAAGAGAGGCCAATCAGGAGTGAGGAGGGGGTACGGAGGGAGGAGGGAGGGAGAGGAGTGAGGAAGAAGGCGAGGGGGTGGAGGAGGCAGGGACGAGCACGAAGGAACGATGAGACAGGAGCGGGGGGGGGAGGACGAGGAGCAGGAAAAGGAGGGGGAGGGAGAGGAAGTGTTGGCCAACTGGGGCAGGTGAAAGGATTGAGGGGCGGGGGGAGGACGAGTGAGGAGGGGAGGGGTGAGGGATGAGACGGGAGGGAGGGGGGAGCAGGGGTGGACGCCCAGATTTGCCCAATCTCCTGTCCTCCTGTTGACGCTGCTCCTACTCCTCCGCTCCTACTCTGCCTTCTCCACCATGTGCATCCCCTTTTCTCATCTCCCGTGGTTCAATTCTGACGCAGAGCCATCGCAACTGGTTCATTATAGGCCTACTGCATTATAGAGCGAACGTTTACAACATTGATCGGCATTATACGACTGAGTTCGTAAAATCCCAGGATGTTGCGGCAGAATTGAAAAACTGTTCGGCCCAGTCATTGCACCATCCCAGAAGACAACATTGTCAACTCAGTCCCGCAACATCCCAATTGTTCGGCTAATTGTAGCCAGGATGCACCATCCCAGAAGTCAGGCTCTCGAGGCCATAGCTCGGGCCACGGGCGACCACCCAGGAAGATCCTGGCACCCCCAGAGCGCACCTGGCGAGACGCAGCTGCCAGAACGCATCCCAAGGTCTGGAGACGTCTAAGACCCAACGAGCATCTCCAACACTTCCTCCTCCTCCTCTCTTCCTCCTCCTCCTCCTCCTCCTCCTGCGATGCTGTCGAATCTCTGGGGGTCTGGGGGGCCCTGAACGACACCCCTTCCCACGCCGTTCCCACCGCGCGACTGCTGACCCGGTCCAGCCCGGAAAATGGGGGAGGGGGTAAGGTGCGCGGGGCACATCCTGGTACTCCTCATGCTGCTACACCTCTTCGTCCTCGTCGTCCTCCCAGTCGTTCTTCTCCTCCTCCTCCTCCTCCAACTCCTTCTCCTCCTTCTCTTCCTGCTCCTCCTGCTTGTGCTCCTCCTACTCCTACTCCTCCTACTCCTCCTCCTCCTCCTCCTCCGCCTCCTCCTCCTCCACATCCTCATCCTCATCCTCGTTGTCTTCCTCGTGCTTCTCCTCCGCTTTCATCTCCACCCCCATCTCCTCATCCTGCTCCTCCCCCTCCTCCCTCCTCCTCCTCGTCCTCCTCCTCCTCCTCCTCTTCCTACTGATCCTCGTTTTCGTCATCGTCGTCGTCGTGCCCCTCCTTGTCGTTTGCCCCCTCCTCTCCTGCACCATAGTATGGAGAGAGCGTCAATGCCGCTCAATACGAAAAACGAATTGCCACTCCAAATCACTGTCGGAGCACTCCGACTTCTTGGCCATACCACGTTCCTGGGCCTTTTTACAAAAACAAGCATGCTCTGATCAAGACTCTGACGCGCCAGCAGCTCAGCCTTGCTCCAGTGCTGATCTTGGATTGGGTTCCGCCCTGCACCAGCGAGCGGGTGGGAGGCATTCGAGGTGGTACATATCCATATTGCTGGGCGACCGCATCGGGCCGGTCGTCAAGCCTCGATATTGCTCCGCCCAGCTCGGAAACATCCCCCTCTGCATCCTCCTCCTTTGTCGCTTTAAAGCGTAACTGAGTTCCTGGCACTTTTTAGCCAGGGAAGCGACTCCACCTAACGCATATCCGCCGCGTCTGGTGCACATTGCTACTTTGCTTCTTCCCAGGACCTGCGCTCCTTCCGCATCGAAAACCGGCGCCATCCTGAGCACATGTCCTTTGAGCAAGATAAGAGCTTCCACCTCGGGTTCTCTGTCTGACTCCGATTCGATCAATGTACAAAGAAGCCGGAACCCTGAAACCTCTGGCATCTTGAAATATTTGAATGCCTTCGCAGCCGCACGCTTCGAAATCTTGCGAAGGGTGGCCGTGCGATCTGGAACATCGATCGTGTCGCACAGCTTTTAGCCTGATGGACATCCTGGGACCCAATCCACCTTCCCAGCTCCCGAGAGCAACCCACCAGAGCCTTCTATTCACAGTAATCGTCACCAGCTGGATGACAACGTGCGCCAATTTTGGTGTACTCATCTGCTGTATCATTTCCTCGCTTTGAAGTCTCAGTCGTACGTCCCTCACGCAAATCAGCCATCGTGCTGTGCGCTAGAACTCTTCGGACCTGGAGCACGTTCTCAAAAGCATGCCAAATTCTCTGCCACATGTGCGCACGCTCATTCATGCTACAAACAGACCCCTTTTCCTCTCTGCGCAGCCACCCCCTCGTCTTCCTCCTCCTCCTTCTTCTCCTCCTCCTCCTCCTCCTCCTCCTCGTCCTCCTCCTCCTCATGTTCGTCATCCTCGTCCTCGCCCCCGTCCTCCCTCGCGGGGCCGGTTCGTCATCCTCGTCCTCGCCCCCGTCCTCCCTCGCGGGGCCGGCGGGGTCCTCCTCCTCCACGGTGCACTTCTGAAACCTCCGGAACAAGCGGTCGGCCAGCCTCTCTGGCAGGGCGCTGAAGGGTCAGGCAACGATCAGGCCAGTCCTCCTGCTTGTGCTATTCATGCTCCTCCTCCTCCTCCTCCTTCCCCTCCTCCCCATCCAGTCATTCCCATCCAGTCCTCCCTATCCAGTCCTACAGATCCTCCTCCTCATCTTCTCTTCTTCCCCATCAACTTCCTCCAAATCTTCTGCCTCCTGCTTCCTCCATCCGCATTTCTTCTACGACCTCCGCTTGCCCGGGGTGGAAAGGCGTATGAAACGATTGGCTGCCCCCCCTCCCCCTTTCCCCCTACCCTGGGGCCCAGAATCCTGCTCGAGTGGGGGTGGGGGCAGGGTGCTGCGAGCTCGTCCCTGTACCTCCGGGGCCCCTGGAGCCACCAAATCCAACCTCGGTGGCCGCGAAGGTGACCAAGCTGCCTTATACGATTCCTCCAGAAGGGCTCCAACACGCCAGAGAGGCCTCAAGAACACCCAAGATGGTCTCAAGACGGCCCAGGACGCCCCAGGAGGGTCCCAAGAGTGATTCAAAAGGGAATCCAAAGGCACAGCCATTTTGCTTTCATTGTTTGCTCGCGGCGTTCTCGCATTGTCGGGAATCTGCAATGCCAAGACGGCCTGATAGGCGACTAATACCGGCCCAATACGGCCTGAGAGGCCCCCAAGAGGGCCCAATGACGGCCCAATGGTGCCCCAAGTCGGCCCGAGAGGCCCCCAAGATGGCAAAAAGACCTTCAAGAGGGCACAAAGAGGGACCCAAGAAAGGCACAAGAGGGGGAACTCGCACGGACCCTGGGAGCCCTCCTCCACAAAAAAGGCCCCCAAGGCCCAATCATGCCCGCAAGTAGCCCCCAAAAAGGCTCCCAAGAAGCCCCTAGAGGGCCCGCCAAAGCGCCGGGGAGCTTTGAATCTTTGAAAGAGGTTGCCACCTAGCACTGGTCCAAAAGAGGCTGCCCAACAGCCCCGCAACAGACGCGGAAGAGGAGGATGAATCAGCAACAAGTACACGCAGGCAACACGACAGGAAGCGGTAGACAACACATACGAAATCAGATGCTGCACATTTCCTCTTCTGGAGGTCGGCGGAATGGAGGCAACCTCTGCAACACATAACGCGTGACGGTGACTCTCAAATGTTGTAGATCTGTTCCTCCACATGGTGTCCTTCCTTGGGGCGCGCACGCAGACCAATCGGTAGCCGCCTATGCCCCAGGACACATGAAACAACAAATCCACGTCCCTCGATGCCTTCGGCGAGGGTGATGGTTCGGGCGAGCACCGCATGGTGAGTCGAGAGACGTTCCTTCACCTCCACCCATTCCTGTCGGGCCGGGCGAAAGGGGGGGATGATAGCAAAGGGGGGGTTTGAGAATCAGCTTACGTAGCTGATTTTCCCAGCGCCTCCCGGCGCCGGGAGGCGCCCATGTATCGAAGAATGGGCCCGGCGGCGGGGCCGAAACCAGCTGCATGCAGCAGATTTCGTAACCTTCCCTTTCCCTATCCCCCCCTTTCGTTCGGCCCGATCCTGGTGCTCGCTAAATGGAAATACCAGAACGTGTGAATGGATGGTGCGCTGCAGCCAAGCATCGTTTAACAAGCGAACCGGCCCCCAGCGTGGTGAAGACATCGCCAACCTGCCGCGGAGACATAGCAAGCGGGGGCGAAGAGTCAGTCGACCCACGGGTTAAGCCCAAGCTCGGCGGCTGCTAGCCCTCGACCGCTGCCTGCTCCAAGCTTGCCAGACAAACCTCCAGCTCCTCCTCTCCTCTTCCTGCCCTCCTTTCCGCTCGTGCCTTCCTCTCTCCTCATCTGGGAGCCCGGACCCCATAATTACCGATCTGGCTTGCAAGCTGTCGGCCCGCAGACGGCTAGCCGAGGTTGTCATCCCGCCATACACGCAACCATATGACGCTGGGGAGCGCAAAAACGGGAGCAAGATGGAGGCCCGGAGCGGCCCGGCCACCTCTGCCTCCGTCCCCACCCCCCTCGTCGTCCCCCGGCACTCCTCGGTCCCTGCCTGGCGCTGGTCCACGCAGAGACAGAGAATAGCCTGCCGGTGGAGAATACGGACAGCCAGGCGACTCCTTGCGAAACATTGCATTTATTGTGTGCTTTGTTTGCTTTTGTTGATTTGTTCCATTTATTGTTTTTACATGTTGTCTTGCTCTTTGGGTTTATCCAATGGCCTCCACGGGTATGAAGATAACAAGGAGGTGGAGCAGCAGAAGTTTTGCTTCCCCCGAGGAGGAGGAAGAGAAAGAGGAATGGAGAAAAGGAATGCAGTCACGGGAGCGGTTCCTTTTCAAGCCCTTTGAGGGCCGAAAGCGCCGCACCCCCATCCAGTCTGGAGCTGCTGGTCCCACCCCCTGGAGCCTCTGGTCCGCGATCAGGTGCCGGGAAGTGTTGACGCGGCCCACGTACAGCTGAGCTGTCTTCGCTGCGCTCATGACGCCCGCCCGCTGCCCGTCAGTGTCCATGCAGCCGATGATCGCGTCCGCCTCCTCGTGAGCTCGCGTTGCGAACTCCCTCCGCATATATGTGTCCAAGTGGCACGTGCGTGCCCATGCTCATGTAAACACAAGTGCAATATACACATACGTACATATATATACATATATGTCTATGTGATCATTGTTGTGTTGCATGTGTGTGGTGGGTGTACAGTGTGTACGTGTGTGTTGTGTGTGATGTGTGAGTTCTGTGTGTCCTGTGTGTTGTATTTGTGTAGTGCGTGTGTGTGTGTGTGTGTGTGTGTGTTCTGTGCGTGCTATATGTATGTCGCGTGTTGTGTGTGCATGTGTTGTGTATTGTGTGTTGCGTGTGTTGCGTGTGTGTGTGTGTGTGTGTGTGTGTCCTGTGCGTCTGTATGCTGTGTGTGATGTGCGTGCTGTGCTGTGTGTGTTGTGTGTTGTGTGTTCTTGGTGTGTTTCGGGTTTGTTTTACGTTTTGTCTGTGTTCCGTGTTCTGTGCTCTGCGTGATGTGCGGGTTGTGTGTGTGTGTGTTGTTTGTGACGTGTGTGTGTGTGTTGTGTGTGGCGTGATGTAAATGTTGTGTGTGTGCTGTGTTGTGTGTGTGTGTTCTGCATGTGTTGTGTATGTGTGTTGTGAGTGTGCTGTGAGTGTTCTGCGTTCTGTGGGTTGTGTGTTCTGTGCTCTGTGTGCTGTGTGTCTTGTGTGTTTGTGTGTGTTGAACGCCGGGGCTCGGTTTTGCGATGTCTCAGGCGTGACAACGATATTTTTCTGAGAATCGTGTGCAACATCATTTCAGCCCCCTGTGATTTGAAGGTGTTGTGTTAAAATGGATGAAGTAGGCTGTGTGTTTGGACCCTGACGTCGCGATTTGCGCGAGGGGTGCGTCCGAGTTTCTTTGAGGATGCCCCGAGCGAAATGGCCAGACATAGTAACGCGGCTTCAATCAATTTCCTCTGAGCTCTGCTCCCTCGGAGAGGCAACATTTCGATCCCTCGGCCTGAGAAGCTCTCAGGACCCCCCCCCCCGAAGCCTCTAAGAAGCCCCCCAAGAGGCCCGACCCCCAAGAAGCCCCAGGAGGCCCTCACGAGGCTCCCAAGCGGCTCCCAAGAGCTTCCCAATAGGCCTCCAAACTACCCCCAAGAGGCCCCCGAGAGCGCTCGTCGTCGTCGTCGTCATTCAGGGTCGGCGGCAACGGCCGTAAGGCCTTCGCAATAAACGAAACTAGCACCGCGGCTAATCCCATGGCGAGCCCTGCGCCCAGGGCGGCGTTTGCCCTGGTGGCCGAGGCGCCTACCCGTAGACGTAAGGCCGGGCGTCGGAACTAACGGCGCGGCGACGTATCCTGTATATGCATGTGTATATAGATCTATACACATCGCGGCTAGTATGTATGCCACACGCACACACACACATATATATATATATATATATATATATATATATATACGTAGCTGCGTATAGATGTACCAGTCCATTTCCCGATCTCTCCCAGACGCAGCGCTCGCAGGCTCTTCGTGCCAGTGTCCGCCCGCCCCCCACTGGCCCCCCCCAAGGGTGGGCGGGGCGCGCGCATGAAGAGGGGGGCCATGCAGCGGACCGCGCGAGGCGCTCTCCCAGCGGGAACCCTTGGGGCCCAACGCTCAGCACGCCTGGGGGTCTCCAGGAGACGGCCAAAGTCCCGCGAGGATGCCTGGAGGTCGAGCCCTTCGCACGGGCGTGCCTGCAGTCGAGCCGCGGAACGGCCACGAGAACAAGGATCTGGAGTCAAGGACATGAGCCCCTTCACAGAACACCATCTCGCCCATGGAGACACCCACAACACGAAGAACACTCCAAGGTGGAGAGGCCGAACACGAAGAGCGGAAGGATACCCCTCCAAAACCGGGGCTGTTCTCCACCTTTTCGCCAGCTGGAGCCTTCTTGAAACCCCGAACCAAACAATGTGGTCGCTTCTCGGAGGCAAGTTTAGGAAGCCACATGCGAACCCTCCCCCACCTCCCCTTTAGAAATCGTGGGGTGGTGGGGTAGTTCGCATGTGGCCGCCGAAAATGCTTGCTTCCACCACCTTCCGCTGGTTTCCACAAACGCAGCCGCACTTGTTTTACTTCAGCCACCTCCCGCGGGCCTTCTGCCGAGGAGCAGAAACTGAACTCTCGAACCCTCGCAGACGAGGCCAACCGTGCTCGTGTCACTTCCACCGCCGTTCGCCGGCCTTCCGTCGAGAAAGACATATCGACGCCGATGACGACGACGATGGAGATGAGGAAGACGAGCAGAGGAGGTGGATCACCGTGCGCATCTGTCTCTCTACCTGCATCCAGCACTCCATCTGTCTCCCCTCTCTCCCTCGGTCATCCTTTCTTTCCGTCCCTCCCTCACTCCTATCTTCCGTCCCTCCTTCCCCAGCGGGTCGTGGGGATGGCGCTTCCACCGGCTCGCAGGGAGCGGCCCGGATCGGATGTCCAGAGAACGCAACGCATACCATACAGCCTTCTGGCCCACCCGAAAGAAAGACAAACGCAAAACATCGACAACACAACGCGGTCTCCACGATCCGCCTGCGCAGACGGACGCCTCAGGCGACTATCTGCGCGGGCAACGAGTGCGAGCGCAGGGGGTAGGAGGAGGAGGCGGAGGAGGAGGAGGAGGAGGAGGAGGAGGCGAAGCAGTGAACCGAGGGGACGAATCCATCCTTCGCGCCACGCCGCCGCGGACCGCGAGGGGCGCCTTAGTACAGGAGGCGCAGCTTGCTGCGCGCCACGGCGACAAGGTCGTTGTCGCAGACCTGGCCGACGAGCTCCACGGGAACGAGGCCGATGTTCAGCGTGCAATTGGGGGACTTCGTTGGTGCTGAATGGAAGAGGTGGCTCGCTGTTGGAGCCTGTGCAGGTAGCCTCCGCTGGAGGCTGTGGAACTACAGGTGGCCGTGGAAGTACGGGTACTGCTGAGCTGACATCGTCAGCGGAGGATTTAGTGCCGCGATGTGCGGCAGAGTGTGACAATGGCTCGGCGGCAGAACGTCAAAGCGTGTCGTCATGAGGAACTTCAGTTGGCCGCGGGCGTACAGGTACTGCTGAGCTGACATCGTCAGCGGAATATGTAGTGATCATGCGATAGCCGTTGCCGCGACGTGCGGCAGAATGTGACAAGGGCTCGACAACAGAACGTCCAAGCGTGTCATCATGAAGTGAATGCGTCCGTGGAGGAGATTCAGCCGTGACTTCGTGGGGTTGTGGAGGCGCTGGAGTCGGAAGTGCACCATGTTGGACGACGGTCACGCGCTGCCCGAAGAGCGCGGAGATGCGAGTCGTACTGGGGGCCTTCTCGTTCGTCAGCAGAAAGATGGCGCAGCTCGAGGACGACGTCGTAGGCGAGGACCAGACGCGTGATGATGTTCGGTAGAGACTGCTCATGTACTGGCTCCAGTGGATCGTCGGTAGCCGCCCCAAGCCCAATGCGCGCCAATGGCTGAGAGTGCGCGAAGGTACGATGCAGACAGCTCAGATGAATCAGGCGAGGACACTGGAGGTAGTGGCCGATGGCGTCGGCTTCAATACAACCCAGGAGGCAGCTGGTCCGATCGGGTCGTACATGCATTCCATGTGTCGTGTGCCACCCCCCGCAGGGTGTTTTGAGCACAGCTCAACGCCAGGCCGCAGAGAACTGACAAAGATGCTCACACAAATGAAGCCAGGGCTGCTGAAGATCAAGAGGTACAGCATCTGGGCCACACCAAGCAGTGATCCTCTTGGAAAGGGTGTGCCGCAGACGGTCAGGGTGGGCAAGCTGAGTGAGATCACGCTGCACCAAACCTTGTGGACGTGGCCGCGGGCCGTCGCTGGTGATCTCGGAGACCTGTCGCTGGGCGTCGCGAATGGTCTGGAGCATCTGGCGTGGCGCCACCTTGACTGGGATGTCCGTGGGCCCCTCCTGCACGCGGGCAAATCGCCGCGCGCCGCCAGAGTTTGCCAGAACGTAGGCACGCCGGTGCCCGGCACGATTCCAGCATGTCCCAGATCAGGTCATCGAGGCTGTCGAAAGCGTTGGGTGCCGACAGCCACGCGCGGTATGGGAGTCGATCGGGTCCTGGAGCAGAAGCCCGTGCACGCTGAGCTGCTCTTCGAAGCGCTGCGGGAGTCGGTAGGGAGAGTTGTGGAGGTCGAGGTCGACAAGGCGCGTGTTGTTGCACGAACGTATTCATGGCGTGACGGTCGACGTCCCCGTGGGCGAAGATGGGGAGCCACCGGGCCTGGAGCGCCCGAGCCATGCCGTGAGGGGTCTTCGCAATCGTCTGCTGGTCAGGTGTGCGAATGCCGACCAGGTGGGTGATCCTGGCAAAGGGGGGCCCAAGCACGAGCGCGGCGATGTGCTGTGCCAGCTGCTTTTTGCTGGTGGGCTGCTTCCAGCTCGCGACCTCCCCGTGCCGCACGCTGGGCCGCAGCTGCTGCCTGGCGCTTCTGCGAGAAAGTAATGGTCGCGGTGGGCCTTCTGCGAGAGCTCCGCGAACGCCGCCGCATCCGTAAGCTGTGCGCGATCGTTCACCAGTTGGAGCAACCGGCGAGCGTGGGAGTCCATCGTGAGGAGGGTGGCAGCAAGGGCGATGTCCCGGCGCCAGACCGCTCTCAGCATCGAGCGGCACACCAAGAGTCGTGCCTCAGCGGGGGCTTGCCCACGTTGGCCACCGGGTAGCTGTAGATGGTTTTCGGCGAGGCGCGCAGCCTCGACCATGTTTGCTTTGATCGCACGCCATGCCAGAATCGGGGCGGAAGCCAGGTCCTTGGAGTGCTCAGCAAGGAGGTTGTAGACCTTGGCGTGCATCGGGAGCGCGAAGAGGAACTCTGGGATAAGCTCCTTACGCGGGACCGCAACGTCCACGTGCAGCGCCAGGACGGCATGGTCACTGAGTCGACGGTCATCGAGAATAGTCGCATCAGGAGGAGGAGGAGAAAGAACAAGAGAAAGAGGAGGAGGAGGAGGAGGAGAAAGAGGATGATACAGAGGAGGAGGAGGTGGATGAGGAGGATGATGAGGTGGAGGAGGAGGATGGGGAGAAGGAGGAGGAGGAGAAAGAGGAGGAGGAGGAGGAGAGCAGGGGGAGAGCTACAGGCCAGGGCGGCCATGCATGAGGGAAGGAAGGAAGGGAGGGCTGGGGGTGAGGGGGGGGGGGCGGTTGTCGCGTAGTGGTGGCGGTCGTGGCGGTGGTGGTGGTGGTGGTCGTCGCGATGGCTGTCGTGTCCCGTCGTAGTGGTCGTGGTGGCTCTCGTGGTGGTCGTGATAGTGGTCGAGCCGTCGAGGTGATGGTCCTGGTGGTCGTGGTGGCTGTCGTGGTGATCCCTTTCTTCCTTCCCTCCGTCGTCTCTCCGATCCATTATTCCATGTCTCGCTCCCTGCCTCTCCCCCGAGAAAGCGGGCGGTGGAGGACGGAAGAGGGGGGGCGACGTGGGGAGATGGAGGCAGAAGGCTGAGGCTGGAGGGGAAGGGGAGGCCGCCAGACTCCAACAACTGGGTCCGATCATCCAGAAGAGAAGCAACAACCCCTAAGTCGCAGCACTGCTTGGCAAAGAAGCCCTAAGTGCAAACACTCAGTGGACAACTGTTTGGGCGGCCCTGAAGATGTGTAGATCGGAATATGGCCAGTCGAGACAATGGCAGGGCTTCCTGGAGTTCTTCGTCCCTTCTGGACCCCGCAATTGGTCTGGGGACGGATTCTGAGCGGACTTGGGGTGGGCGGGAGAGCCGCTGTTTTCTCCACTGGCCCTCCTCCGAGTGTTGAAGCGTAGACGGTGCGCGTCCGCCGCAGCAAGCGCTGCCGGCAACTCCTCCTCTGCTGCCCGCTGGTGCGGCAATGAGCCGGCGGTGGGCGCTGCAGCACTGTATGGCCTCCACAGGCGCATCCAGGTGGACGCCAGGAAGGGGCCCCTTCCCTGGCACCAGCTTCTCGTCCCGAAGAATTTTGACAGCCCCAGGGTCCGAGACCGGCCGGAAATACTGAAACACCTCGGACTCTTTTTCTGTGTGGCACGGGGCCCGAGCGCTAGGGATGCTATCGGGCCGCAGCGCGTGGGGAGAGACTGACAGAGCGTCCACACAGATAGCAAGCGAAAGAGCCCTGCCCAAGCAGGATCTCCAGGCGGGACTCGCAGTGGAGCTCGTGCGGCGCAACACTACCACGGTGGCCAGGACGAGAGAGAGAGAGAGAGAGCAGGGGGGGGGACGGATAGCTGCCGAACGTGCCAACTATCCGCCACGAGGCCAAGCCACGGGGGAAACGATCCGCAAAACAGCACAAGGATGTCACGGGCTCTACGCTTTCGAGTCTCTCGAGGTCTGGAGGGGGGACATGCGCCCCCGAAAACCACGAGAGCACAGCTGCCTCCGGACCATGCACGGACCTCCCCGCCCGCTGGCAACAGAGAGAAGGGCGTGCCGCCTCGGCAGTGAACAGCTGCACGATGGCCGCCTTGCCCTGGCCAGGGAGGACTTTTTAGCTCCCCACCCAGCACGTTGGGGCTGTTAGATTTGAAGAGAGGAGTTCAGACGTCTTGAACTAATCAAGGCAGGCGTCTTTCTGAGTCTTCGGCCACCGTAAGTAGGCCCTCGCCGGGCCCTGGGAGCGTCAAAAAACGGCCCAGGACTAAAAGTCGGCCCTGGGGATCGGGCGGGTGTTAAGGGCGGGGCCCTGAAGGGGCCCTGTCGGGCCCCTTTCTTGACCCCCCCCCCATTCAATACCCCCACTCCCTTAACACCCGCCCGCAGAGAAAGTGTTGGGACTTCCGGGGGCCCCGTATCGAGAACGTCAAGGCATCGGATATCGGGGGTACCCGCCTCGCGCACCCTGCATACCACGGCCGTCGGGCCCTGAGCGTGCTGGTGCGCCGTGGGTATTCCCGCCTCGTGCCTGCCTCGACGAACGACGACTGCGTATTTGTTTTTGTTCGGTGGTCCGGAACCCACGCCTCCGACAAGACCTTTTTGATCCTTTTTGGCTTTCTGAAGCCGTTTTCGGGCCCTGGGGCGGTCACACATTGATTCGGGACGCAATGCTCCCCTGGTGAAGAGGTCGGGAATTCCTGGGACCGCGGATTGAAACAGCATGCGGAAAATGCCTGGGAGTGCGAGAGAGAAGGGGTCCACGACTCGTTTCCATCGGGTTCTCCTTTCCTCATGCCATTCTCATCAGGAAGGGCTGGCAAGCTGTAGGCGCAGCCTCGGATCCTGACCCGCCACCCTGAGGTCCCCAAAGTTACCCAGAAGTCGCCTGAGGCCTCCAGGGGCCCAAACAAAGCAACACAATACCCTACATGAGGGCGGTTTTGCGCGGATGCCCGCGCGAAACTCATCAATGGGATTGCGTACCCACGAGATTGCGCCTCGGTGTCCAATGGTATCCAGACCGCGAGGGCATGGATATGGCGAGTGCGTAGAACCCTGAACACCAAAAATTGCCAACACTCTGAAAAGGGGGGCATATTTTACTTCCGCCGCCTTCCGCCAGCCACTCGCCGGCGGAGCCGCCCTCGTTTGGCTTCCTCCGCCGCCTTCTGGCCTCCCGCCGAAGAAGAGATCCCTCGAAACCAAAGCCCTTTCTGGAATTTAGTGCGCCCTGGAAGCGACAAGGCCGTTTTTGATACCAGTTCCGTTTTGCTGCTTGTTTGCCGGTTCTGGTGCCGATTCTTTCCCGGCTCTGTCCCCGGTCATTTCCGATTCTGGTTCGGGCTCCAATCCCCAAACCGCCTATTTCCCGTTTCTGGGAGGCTGTGTTTCTGAACCGTTTTCATGTTCTAGACCTGTTTTTTGAAAGCAACACAGAAACGGCCGTGCCGCTTCCAAGGCACGCTAAGTTCTGGAATTTCCCGTACCCTGAGATCCGACGACGCGCAATAAATGCAACATGATGAACAATCACGGCCCAAGCCCTGGAATCCATCTTTTTGCGCCACTGTTCGAGCCAGATCGATCCTTGAGGGTCCCATTGCCCGAAACTGGACGAAAACTCCTGGCTCAAACAAATTGAGCAGCCAGGATCTCAAGGCATCGGATCTCTCCACTCCTCGGAGTGGCCCAGCAGCCTGGCCCTTCTGGGCCAAGGCTTCGCGTGTCCAGGGCCTGGGGCCGAGCATCCGAATGGCAGGCGAGATCGCCGCCAGAGAAGGATCTGGCGTGGTGGCTCGTCGCTTTCGCGCGCCCACCAGCCCCCCCCGAGCGGCCATGCTGCGCTCGAGGAGGTCAAGGTACTCCTGCCGTCATCCTTTACGGCTGGCGCCGCAAACATGGCGTGCAGCGTCGATCTCTGAAGAGCACGCAACGGCTTCCCCCCTCCTCCTCCTCCTCCTCCTCCTCCTCCTCCTCCTCCTCCACCTCATTATCTCCCTCCTGCTCTTCCTCCTCATTCCCCTCCTCCGCCTCCACTGGTGGTCCTTGGTCCTCCCTGTGAGGCGATCCCCCGGCGAGGGCTCCTCCGGCGCACGTCATCCCCCTGCGAGGACCTCGTCGGTGCTCGCCACCCCCCCTGCCGGGGCCTCGCCGGTGCACGTCGCGGTTTCTATATGTGCGGGCCGGCGGCGCCACATGGCACGCTGTCTGTGCAGCACCAGCCGTGTTTCCTTCTCCTCCTCCCTCCCTGCAATCCGACGTCAAGAGAAGAAGCAACACCTTAGAACAACTCGACCAGAGCTCTGGCTCCCACTTTCTGTTGCGTTTTGCGAGCTGGATCGATCGATGAGGGTCAGGGGGCCCGAAACAGAGCAAGCGGCCCGGCACGACAGAAACTGGAGACCGCCTGGATCTCCAGGCCCTTCGCTTCCTGTCCTCCTCCTGGTGGCGTGGTCGTTGCTCGTGGCGCTTCTCGACCCTCGATGGGGCACAGCTCGGCAAAAAGGCTTGCCCCTCCTCGCGGCGCGGCGCGGCGGTTTTATCTTTTGTTGTTGTTGGTGGTGGTGGTTGTTGTTGTTGCTGTAGCTGTTGCTGTTGCTGTTGCTGTAGCTGTTGCTGTTGCTGCTGCTGCTGCTGCTGCTGCTGCTGTTGTTGAACATTATTTATTCTAAAGAATAATTATTGTTGGGCCCCCTGGTGCGCGCCCCCCCTGCGCCGCCTAGGCCGCAGCTACATTTTCATCATTTTCGTGAGGAAGCCTCAGAAAAGAGGGTGTGTACAGGATCCGGTTGTTTTGTTGTAATCCGCTTTCCCTTGCAAAAAACAATAGAAAATGACATTTCTTGTTCTAATATAATCAAATTTCAAGAATCCCTTGCAAAAAATAAGGTAAAGTGGACATTCGCGCGCGCAAGACGAAATCCTTCCAAAACCTTAGTGTTCGCAGCGATTTTAACATAAAAACATCAAAAAACCAATGGTTTTTCAACAAAAAATTGTCAAAATATCATCCCGCGCGCTCTTGCGGATTCGTAGGAAACCCAACACTTTTTAAACATTTCTGTCAAACGGGCTTTTGCGAGCAACTTTTTCGAACTTCTGCGACAACGGTTGCGCACCTGCCAGGGCCATCATCCCTGTCAAATAATACCATGCGGGACACATTCGTTTTTTCTTCGCGCGCGCACGCCGTCGTCGTCGGCCGCGGGGCCCTGAATAGTAGCCACGGTCGTCCGCATGCCACGAAGTGAAGTGTCCGAACGTCATAGGGCGGGAAGCTGGGTGTGGGTGGTGGCGAAGAGTCGTTTGGAAATTTGGTAGAGCTTGAACCGGCCCCCCCACAAAGTGGGGGTATTGCCCGCCTCCTATGAAAACCCTGGCACTGGTGAGAACGGAGTGTCCCCACGTGCTAGTAATTGTTGTTGAATATTATTACTTCTAAAGAAATATTATTGTTGAGACCCCTGGTGCGCGACCCCCCTCCAAAACCTAGGCCGCAGCCTCATTTCCTTCATTTTCTAGCGAAAGCTTCAGAAAAGTGGATTGTCACCGGATCCGGTTGTTTTGTTGTAATCCGTTTTCCCTTGCAAAAAACACCATATAAAATGAAAATTCTTGTTCTTACTTGATCAAATTGCAAGAATCCCTTGCAAAAAATAAGGTAAAGTGGACATTCGTGCGCGCAAGACGAAATCCTTCCAAAACCTTAGGTTTCGTAACGATTTTAACATAAAAACATCAAAAACCCAATGGTTTTTTAAGAAAAAATTGTCAAAATGTCCTTCCGCGCGCGCTGTCCGAATCCCACAAAACCAATGGTTTTTCAACATTTATGTTACATGAGCTCGCGCGAGCTACTTTTTCTTGTTCTAACATAATCAAATTTCAATAATCCCTTGCAAAAAATAAGGTAAAGTGGACATTCGCGCGCGCAAGACGAAATCCTTCCAGAACCTTAGGTTTCGTAACGATTTCAACATAAAAACATCAAAAACCCAATGGTTTTTCAAAAAAAAATGTCCAAATTTCATCCCGCGCGCGCTGTCCGACTCCCACAAAACCAATGGTTTTTCAACATTTATGTTACATGAGCTCGCGCGAGCTACTTTTTCTTGTTCTAACATAATCAAATTTCAATACTCCCTTGCAAAAAAAAAGTAAAGTGGACATTCGCGCGCGCAAGACCAACAAAAAACACGACGATCTTAGGAACTTGCCCCAAAAATGTGACCAACTCCGCTCTCTCTGTCTCTCTCTCTGTCTGCTCTCTGTCTCTCTCTCTGTCTGTCTGTGTCATGTATTGTATGTCACAATTGCAGGATGCTGGGCACACGCGCGCCCCGAATAAGTGACCAAGTTCTGTGGGTGTGTACCCCACGCCAGTGTAGTAGCCACGGTCGTCCGCACGCCACGAAGTGAAGTGTCCCAACGTCATAGGGCGGGAAGCTGGGTTTGGGTGGTCGCGAAGAGTCGTTTGGATATTTGGTAGAGCTTGAACTGCCCCCCCACGAAGTGGGGGTATTGTCTCGCGTCGCATGAAAACCCTGGCACTGGTGAGAACACTGAGCGTTCGGGTAAAATGATTGTTGTTGTTGTTGTTGCTGTTGTTGTTGTTTAACTCTCACCACTGACGATTAATTATTGTTGCTCCCCCCTCCGGTGACCATTGTGTTTTTTCGATTGGAGTGCTTCCCCCGGGGCTCGCACCCTTTTCTTCAGGGAAAATCACGGGGCTCGAATTGGGCCCCTGGCCCCCAGTTTACAACAACAAAGGCGCCCGCCTGATACTTCCTCACAATGAATTCCCAAATCGCGCTCTTGCGCGGGACTTCCTCACAGTTCATGTACGCATCGCAATCTCGTGTGCGACTTCCTCACAATTTATTCTGACGATGCGCCCTCGGCACTCAGGAAGCACGCTTTCGCTTTTCTCATGGTTTACTTGGGAATCACGCTATCGCTCGAGACTTCCTCGCGATTCATGCAGGACCCACGCTTCAGCAGCCTGCCTGCTCGACCTGGTCGCCCCGACCTGCCCGCTATGGGTCTGCCTACCCGATCTGCCTGCCAGGTTCTTCCACTTGTTTTCTGCTC